GTTACCCATGACATCAAAGTTCTACATGTTCCACGGTCGGGTGTGTAAAGGTCACTCACCTCTGGAGGAACACACACACGTTGAACACATCTCTGTACTTTTACAAACCCTCTACGTTTGCGAGTGTTACTGTCTCTCAAACATGTCGAAACGCCGACGCAGCCACAGCCCTCCCGTTTCCCGCTGCGAGGAAGGTAAGTAAACGACAAAACAAAGACGTGAAAAAGACATGGGTCGAAAAACTTATCAAACAATACAGATTTGAATTCACAACATAAGATTTGCTAAAAGGTCAAGATTGAGGGGAAAAAGTTGTACGTTTTGAGACGATTTGAGACAATATAAAAAGTAGTGCAGGGTAGAGAAGTGAAATGTTGAAATCTGTTCACCTTTCCACCAAATAAACAGACAAAAATCCACAACTGGACCATCAAAATCTTACTATTCAGAGTTTTATTGTGAAACTAACACAAATATATTACCAAGTTATTAGTTATATTGTGTTTAAAATGTGTTGTAGTACAGAAAAGTTTACTGTATATTTGACGTGTCGTTCTCTGTTCCAGGTTCTACTCCCGCAGCGAAAAGGCACATGGCCCGACTGGCGGACAGGCCTCAACAGCGCCGCCTCCTGTCCCGGCTGGCCCCTTCTGGAGGCCTGAAGATCTTTCAGGCCAGATATGAACAGGGCCATCTGCTGGGGAGCGGAGGCTGCGGCTCGGTCTACGCCGGCGTGCGAAAGTCCGATGGTCTGCCGGTAAGTTCAGTTCAGCAATTCAACTGGTAGTTCAGGTCTAACAATTGATTTAGTCTGTTTTAAAATCACTTAATTAACATCGTTCTAGTTTCACTTCGCAAAGTTCGGACAGCAGTTTTTCATATTACCCAGATATTGGCTGTGTTCAAATATTTAGTGTGGTTTGTGTGTACATGCACAGAAAATGATCTTATGAGATTCCCCCACGTGTGTTTGCGTTTGGATTGGACAAAAAGTGTTAGTGAGTTAACTTTTTGTTTGGATTGGACAAAAACGCATTAAGTGAGTGAACATTCTGAGAAGCCGTAGTTCTAAAAAGCAGTGCTACAATGATATCAAAAGTATTCAATTATGTAAATAAAACATAAGTATTTGAGTGTCAGCCGATTCCTACAGATACCAAGCGATATCAGCCCGTATCAGCCGATCCCAGCCAATGCCAACATTGATATTTCTTTCGGGTCCTGGCTCCAGTGTCAACAAAAACAACAAACAAATGAAGCAGCCCTGGACGTATAACCTGTCCATTTAATGAAGACCTGGACCGTATTTTGGGAAACAAGCCCAGCGTTTAGGCAACACTGAGCACGCCTGCTGCGTGTGACGTCGTCATGTCCTCCAATGCACATGCACGACACTTTTGGGATGTTTAAAGTTCACACTGAAGGTCACATACAAGTCGCATTTAATTGGAAATGTGAACGATCTTGCAAAAAAATCTGATTTCATAAAAAAATCTGAATTGATCATTAAGCCCTGCAGTCTGAATGTAGCCAAAGTGTTTGATTGCTCAAACATCTGCTCAAACTAACTAAGACTTTTTTCTTCTCTGCAGGTGGCCATCAAGTACGTCCCAAAGAAAACTGTGGACTACTACCCCCTGGTGAGCTGCGGGAGGATGTACCACATCCCAAAGGAGGTGTACATCATGTACAGAGCGACGGCCGGCGCTGACAGGGTTGGTCAGTGCGCCGCCGTCTCCCTCCTGGACTGGTTCATCCTGGGTACGGACATAATCATCGTCATGGAGAGACCCAACCCCTGTACGGACCTCATGTCCTACAGCCTCCTCCATGACCCTCTACCAGAAAACACGGTGAGGGACATCATGAACCAGCTGGTCCTGGCTGTGAAGGATCTACAGCAGAAAAGGGTTTTCCATCGGGATCTAAAATTGGAAAACATCCTGATCCAGGAGACCGAGGGCGGCGTCAGAGTCCGGATAATTGACTTTGGGTGTGGCTGTACAGTCATGGTCCCGCCATACACCTCCTACTCCGGGACTCCGAAGTTCTGCCCCCCGGAGTTCTTCCTGAATCGGAGATACAGAGATGGACCGACTTCTGTGTGGCAGCTCGGAACCATCGCTTTTGAACTGCTGAACGGAGACGGGAGCGACTTTAATATTTTTGAGTGGTTCGGCGGGAAACTATCAATGAAAACAATCAGTGCGTCCCAAGAAGGCAAAGATTTCATCCAGGTTTGTCTGGAAGCCGATCCATCCAGAAGGATAAGCCTGGAGGAGCTGGAGGAACACATGTGGTTTCACTGCAGCCCCCTGAGCTAAGCCCTTGACTGTGAACAAATAAAATATTTCTTTAAAGACTAACTCTACATTTGGTTGTCATTTCACATTACAGAACTTAGAAATGAGTTGTTCTGAATCAGGGATAACACCTGAACGTCAAAGAAAAGTGCTAAAATGTAACTTCTTGTTGAGTTTACACCTGTGAAAAGTGAAAAGAGACACGCTTTTTATGTTACAAATCTTAGGAACATATTGAGCTTAACACTAACTTAACCAATGAAATAATAGTAGAGTAGCATCAAAAACGTTAAGGTGTCCGTGTAGGTACTTCTCCAACATCCTGATGCAATTTGAGGTTCAATTAGAAAGCAGTTTTCAATTAATAAGTCAAGCTTTATTTCAGACGCCAGGGGGTCCATATAGAACATTAAAAAACAGACAGAAGACAAACAAAAATAGTAATAATAGACTATAGTCCTTATGAGCAGTTCCTCCAGTGCCTCCAGAGTTCAGAGGCGAAACTGACACTCTTTTGCTCAGGCAGTATTCAAACATTCTTATTTATTTTTCTGAGTCCTCAAGGCGCTTCATAAACTTATATACAAAATTTCCGATCACAGAGTTCAGTGCAGGAACATGATCCTCTACAAACTGGCACTGGTCCAACCCAGGACTTTAGGTAAAATACGAAGTGCATCATTACAGTATATGCAACCTGCAGCTTCTTACATGTACTTTTACTGTAACTGCACCAAAAGAGGGCAGTACAGAGAGGTGTAAGCTTTGAACAGAGAACAAAATACAGTTTGTTACTCTTCGATAACAGGATTGATCATTAAATAAGGGGCCGACAGCTTTTCTTTTTTACTGAATCAAATTTAATAGATTTTAAATAAACAAGAAACATATCGTGACTTTTGTATTGATTTATGTATCATATCTGCAAACTCTTAATGATATACAGCCATATTTAGAAGTGTATATCAGGTAGTGGTCGGCACACATCATTATCGGTAGTAAACTTTGACTTAAATGACAAAATCTTATAACAGAGAGATGGGATATTTGAATCTGCTCTGTTGTTGCTTCAAGACACTTCATGCTCTTTGCCTGGTTGCAGGGGTGTAGTGGGCATGGTATGCAGGAGTACGGCGTCCACCCACTTCTCCTGATGTGAGATATAAAAAAATAACAAATATAAAAAGCTACAACTTAAATAGCAAACTGGAGCTATTGGCAATGGTGAAAAAACCTGCATAGGCTCATGAAATCTGCAGGACTGTCCTATAGAGACCTGAGACATGAGGGGACCAGGACTGAACCAGGACTAAAGCAGGAGAACTAAACCAGGACTGAACCAGTACCGATAGAGGACTCGGTGTCAGGTTGGGCCTAGAGGTGCACCCACGAAGACAGTCGTGTGACACCCTGCTCCGTGGGCTCCGGGTTCTCCTTTTCACTCTCAAGTCCAAGATTAGTCCTGCTTTAGACCTGGTTTAGTCCTGGTGTAGTCCTGGTTTAGTCCTGGTTTAGACCTGGTTTAGTCCTGGTTTAGTCCTGGTTTAGTCCTGGTTTAATCCTGGTTCAGCTCTGGTTTAGTCCTGCTTTAGTTCTGGTTCAGTCCTGCTTTAGACCTTGTTTAGTCCTGGTGTAGTCCTGGTTTAGTCCTGGTTTAGACCTGGTTTAGTCCTGCTTTAGACCTTGTTTAGTCCTGGTGTAGTCCTGGTTTAGTCCTGGTGTAGTCATGCTTTAGACCTGGTTTAATCCTGGTTCAGCTCTGGTTTAGTCGTCCTGCTTTAGTTCTGGTTCAGTCCTGCTTTAGACCTGGTGTAGTCATGGTTTAGTCCTGGTTTAGACCTGGTTTAATCCTGGGTCAGTTCTGGTTTAGTCCTGGTTTAATCCTGATTTAGTCCTGGTTTAGTCCTGGTGTAGACCTGGTTTAGTCCTGGTGTAGTCATGGTGTAGTAATGGTTTAGACCTGGTTTAATCCTGGTTTAATCCTGGTTCAGCTCTGGTTTAGTCCTGCTTTAGTTCTGGTTCAGTCCTGCTTTAGACCTGGTTTAGACATGGTTTAGTCCTGGTTTAGACCTGGTTTAATCCTGGGTCAGTTCTGGTTTAGTCCTGGTTTAATCCTGCTTTAGACCTAGTTTAGTCCTGCTTTAGACCTGGTTTAGTCCTGGTGTAGTCATGGTTTAGACCTGGTTTAATCCTGGTTCAGCTCTGGTTCAGTCCTGCTTTAGACCTGGTTTAGACATGGTTTAGTCCTGGTGTAGTCATGGTTCAGTCCTGGTTTAGACCTGGTTTAATCCTGGTTCAGCTCTGGTTTAGTCCTGCTTTAGTCCTGGTTTAATCCTGATTTAGTCCTGGTTTAGTCCTGGTGTAGTCATGGTTTAGACCTGGTTTAATCCTGGTTCAGCTCTGGTTCAGTCCTGCTTTAGACCTGGTTTAGACATGGTGTAGTCCTGGTTTAGTCCTGGTTTAGACCTGGTTTAATCCTGGGTCAGTTCTGGTTTAGTCCTGGTTTAATCCTGGTGTAGTCATGGTTCAGTCCTGGTTCATGTGTTGTGGCCCATGATTTATTTTCTGTAGGTGAGCAGGATCAAAAAACCTAAAATATTACAGATTTTTATTGGATTGGCGCCTTTACGTTTCGATGACGTCACGAATCGCGTACCCCCACTTAAAAAATCCCCACTACACCACCGCCTGTGTGTATGTGTGTATGTGTGCATGTGTGTATGTGTGTATGTGTGCATGTGTGCATGTGTGTATGTGTGTATGTGTGCATGTGTGCATGTGTGTATGTGTGTATGTGTGCATGTGTGTATGTGTGTGTGCATGTGTGCATGTGTGTATGTGTGCATGTGTGCATGTGTGTATGTGTGTATGTGTGTATGTGTGCATGTGTGCATGTGTGCATGTGTGCATGTGTGTATGTGTGCATGTGTGCATGTGTGCATGTGTGCATGTGTGCATGTGTGCATGTGTGCATGTGTGCATGTGTGCATGTGTGTATGTGTGCATGTGTGCATGTGTGCATGTGTGCATGTGTGCATGTGTGCATGTGTGCATGTGTGCATGTGTGCATGTGTGCATGTGTGCATGTGTGCATGTGTGCATGTGTGCATGTGTGCATGTGTGCATGTGTGCATGTGTGTGTGTGTATGTGTGTATGTGTGCATGTGTGCATGTGTGCATGTGTGCATGTGTGCATGTGTGTATGTGTGCATGTGTGCATGTGTGTGCATGTGTGCATGTGTGCATGTGTGCATGTGTGCATGTGTGCATGTGTGCATGTGTGCATGTGTGCATGTGTGCATGTGTGCATGTGTGTATGTGTGTATGTGTGCATGTGTGCATGTGTGCATGTGTGCATGTGTGCATGTGTGCATGTGTGCATGTGTGCATGTGTGTATGTGTGTATGTGTGTATGTGTGCATGTGTGCATGTGTGCATGTGTGTGTGTATGTGTGCATGTGTGCATGTGTGCATGTGTGCATGTGTGTATGTGTGCATGTGTGCATGTGTGCATGTGTGCATGTGTGTGTGTGTATGTGTGCATGTGTGTATGTGTGTATGTGTGCATGTGTGTATGTGTGTATGTGTGCATGTGTGCATGTGTGTATGTGTGCATGTGTGCATGTGTGTATGTGTGCATGTGTGTATGTGCTGTGTGACTGTGATTAAGGCTCTCATAGGGCAATTTGTCCTCTACGTTTGACCCATCCTTCAGTGTCTCTGGGTCACACGTGTCAGGAGCCGTAGGCGGTGGACACGCGTCTTGAGAAAGTCTTGGTCAGGACTAGTTTAGCGGGAGGATTTGATCTATTGCACGTGTTCTGGATTGATGAGGGAAACAAGTTGTCTTCTACATTCTGTTGGAATCCAGAAGAAGCACCGAGCGTGAAAAACTTCTGCCCTAATTTGAGATGATCCAACCGCAGACGCTCATTTGCAGTGTTGGGGAGTAACGGATTACATGTACCGCCGTTACGTAATCAGAGTACAAATTATGAGTAACTGTATTCCGTTACAGTTACTGTTTCAATGAGTGGTAATTGGATTGGATTTGCTGAAATAAGTGGATTACAAGGCGGTATTTTCCTGTTTTCACATTTTGTGCTACATCCCATTTATTTATTTTTTTATTTCGGTAATTTCACTCATTGCCTGAAACCCAAACAGAACGCGCACAATAAGAGCGATGTAAACGTCATGTTAAAGTTGGCGGTGTCAGTCACACAGTGGAAGCAGCAGTGCATTGGTAAAAACGCATTTGTGTCTTGGAAATTCTTCTCCCGATGTGAGATATATATATAAAAAAAACTAATATAAAATCGCCTACAACTTAAATGTGAAACAGGAGCTACTGGCACTGGTGAAAACAACCTGCATAGACTCATAATATCTGTACTACTGTCCTATAGTGACCTGCGACATGAGGGGACACGCACACAAACACACACAAACACAAACACACACACAAACACACACCTTCATCATCGTCATCAACCTGAGAACCCGCGGACCACGTCTCCTTCCGTAGTTACTGGTCGGACACCGCCGTCTCGTGCGCCGCGTGTGGAACGTGTTTTCTCGCGTAAACCGCACTTCCTCCTGTGCGCCTCTAAACCAGAACTAACACCAGGACTAAACCAGGACTAAACCAGGACTAAAGCAGGACTAAAGCAGGACTGAACCAGGTTTAAACTAGGACTAAACCACGACTAAACCAGAACTAAAGACCTGGTCTAGACCAGGTCTAAAAATCAGGACTAAACCAGGACTAAACCAGGACTAAACCAGGTCTAAACAACATGACATCTAACAGTAGGTTGACATAATTTAAGGTGATCTCATATAAAAATTTTCTCTATCAATAATATTTTTTAATCTGGTGAAGGAAAGGCTGATCTTGTTTCTGTCTTTTAACAGACAAAACCTCTTATATTAAGATGTCGTGGTCTTTGTTTCTACAGTAAACAGTTGTTTATTCATGGAGACTTGGGCTCAGACAATTTGAAGACAACAAACACGAA